GCGGGGGGACCTTTGTTGCGGGGCGCTTCGTCGCGGTTCGTCGCGGTTTGTGCTCCACGCATATTTATTTTCCTCGCTTCCCATCCGCAGGGCCGCATGGAATATCTGGTCAAATGGAAGGGCTGGTCGCAGAAGTAAGTCGCCCGTGGGGCTGCGGGGGGCTGCAGCGGGGGCCGGGGGGATGCTGGCTGCACGCACTGCTCCCCCTTTGTGCCTCCTCCTTTATGCCCCTATTTTTTATTTTATTTATCTTGTTCCCTCTCCGGGCTTCTTATTCTGTTCCCTGTCTCCGTCCCGCCTCCCCCCAGGTACAGCACTTGGGAACCTGAGGAGAACATCCTGGATGCCCGGCTGCTCGCCGCCTTCGAGGAGAGGTACAAGGCCTTTACGAGCTGTAGCAGTTGCGCTTGTAAATATGTTGCTGTCTTGTAGCTATGCTGAATTGAAGCTTTGGTTCTTTTAACACCTCTAGGGAGCGAGAAATGGAGCTTTACGGGCCCAAAAAGCGAGGCCCCAAGCCCAAAACCTTCCTGCTAAAGGTAAGGAGGCCGGAGCCCGCGCGCGAGGGCTGCGAGCTGGAGCAGGGGTCTCTCTCCGGCCCCCTCGGAGGATGCTCCCCTCAAAGGTGGCCTCTCGTAAGTTGCAATTACACAGCCGGATGGCAGGATAATAAAGTCACTGGGTGATTTATCTTCTTTGCAGGCCCAGGCAAAAGCCAAAGCCAAAACCTATGAATTCCGCAGTGACTCTTCCAGGGGGATCCGGGTGCCGTATCCTGGCAGGTCCCCCCAGGAGCTGGGCTCCACGTCCCGGGCTAGGGAAGGACTGAGAAACATAGCCCTGGCCCCCCAGGGCAGCTCCAGCAGCAGCACCCCCAAGGCTGACGGCATCCGGGACCGGGTGATCCGCGTGGAAGAGAAGCCCGGAGAGACCCCCAAAAAGAGGGGCCCGAAGCCCAGGAAGGAGCTTTACAAGGACCTTGCGGAGTCTCTGGATGCCTCCAAGAGGAAACTGGGGGACCCGGGGGACAAGGTGGGGGACTACCTGAAGGCCAGGAAGATGGAGGAGGCGGCGGCGGGGGCAGCCAAGTTTGGCTCGGGACACAGCGTGATCCAGCTGGCCCGGCGGCAGGAGCCCGACCTGCCCGGCGCCCTGCCCGGCCCCA